CACTTGGGCCTGTGAGTTTGCCCAAGAAACTTTCTGCACGAGCGCCAGCCAAGGCATAGGCCTATACACATACAGCACAGCAATGAAGTAATAAAATGAACTAGGATCACACTAATCCAGCACGTTATTATTCTGAGTTGCCCCACTCAAGCAGCGGCCATATAGAGTGGGGCACGTGAGATTAATAATGCGCTGGATTACTGTAATCCTAGTTCATTTTATTACTTCATTGCTGTGCTGTATGTGTATAGGCCAATGTAGTTGGATCTGTATGTGCGTTATAATTAATCAAAATTAATCGATTAAAACATTTTGATTAATCAAACACGAAAATTGTAATCAGTACCAGCCCTAGTTCTAAGCATTTAACATTTAGTACATACATTTAGTATGCAATGAAGTTTCACATTATAATTATTGATTTGTAGGTATACTTTTGGCTGTTGATAAATGAATTCCATAATAATACTGGTGTCCAAAGATCCACTCTGATCAAAGTGTGCAAGATGCTGTGTCGATGTGGGATAGCCCTGAGTTTTTTGGCTTCTTGCCTCAGTACAATTATATGCTGGTATTTTAATTGGCATCCTATTTTCTTGGTACGGAAATTAGATTTTAAAACTCAATAACATGCTCTTAAATGATTTATATGCATGGCATTGTATATATACAGAACAAAGAAAAGTGTAAAGACTAAACCTGACGTTACATTCCTGTGGCCTGGCAGTTGTTGGTGAACTATAGGTTCTAGCATGCAGTTTACCTGAAGGTTGCCCAAACCGGAAAAAAACAGAGCTGTCAGAGTGCTTGTATACTTTGACAGCAAAAATGCCAACTGTAATCCCAAGCCTACACAACAGAATGGAGGAGGTATCTCTGAGCACTATCCTATTTGCATGTGTTTAATATTGTAGTATTGAAAACTCTAGAGATCTGCGCCGGGGGGCAGTGATGAGTGACCAGTCAAGAAGTGGGTTAAAAGGCCATGAAACAAAGAAAGCTGTGACATTCCTTCAAGTCAGTGTCAGTGGGGGAGGCCTTCAATGGAGGATCACTAATGCACTCCATTATCACGCCCTGCATAATTAAGAGCATTGGGCTGTATGTAATGAATTAGACTGATAAAATGTGCCTTACAATGATCACGGTGACCAAATAACATTCACAGAAATATGATCTGGGTAATTATTGGTGCTTTATCTCATGAAGCGTCATTTTACTCCACCTCATATAGGAACTTTACTGGAGCCTGAACCTAGATAACCCACACCTTTTTAAATTATAGTCAAAAAAAGTAAAAAAATCTATGAAATTTTAGAAACTTAACAGGAGCTCCCAGCTTTTATCAGCCTGAGCCTGGATAACCTGCATTTTTTTAAATTACTGTTAAAAAATTGATCATAGTAATTGACAAAATTATTAACAAAAACTACACTGGAGCTTCCAGCTATTGTCAGCCTGAATGTGGATAACTCACAACTTTTTAAATTACAGTCAAAAAAGTATAAAAACTGGTCAAATAAAGTGATAAAATTATAGAAGCTTCACTGGAACTGGAACTCCCAGCTTTTACCGTCCTGAACCCAAAAAATTCTGCGCTTTTTAGAATTATAATAAAAAAATTCAGAAATGTATTAAATTAATTGATATTTCCTTATAGAAGCTTTACTGAAGCCTTCAGCTATTACCAGCCTGAATCTAGATAACCCACACCTTTTTGAAATTACAGTCAAAGAAGTTAAAAAATTGAAAACAATCATTAATAAAATTATAAAAGGTTTACTGGAGCCCCCGGCTATCACCAGCCTGAACCTGGATGACCTGCACCTTTTTAAATTACAGCCTAAAGAGTTGAAAAATGTATCAAATTAATCTGGAGCATCTGGAGCAGTTTTTAAACCATGTCACATTTCACTGTTCATGAACTTGTCAGGAGAAATAGAGTGAAAAACGAATTCCAGTATTTATAATAAACTGATCACTTTCATATATTCATATATACATATTTCATATAACATGTACCTAAAAAATGGAGAGAAAAAAATTAATTTCCTGTTTCAAAGCCATATTTATTGTTTTTGGATCAACTGTTTCAGTTATCTCAGATACTGTCACAAAATGGTAAGGGAAAGAGTTCTATCACTTGCTGTGGGGAAATAAAACAGTGACATCTCCTTGTTTCAATAGAAAGCATAGCCAAAAGCAAGTACATTGGTAGTTGGATGTCAAAAGACACCGAATTCAGATTATTTCCACTTTTATACTCATATATGCAAGCAAGCATGGAAGAAATTCCTTTCACATCTATGTACTATAAACGTTTATTACGTTATTGTACACTGTGCCCCTACAAATATGTGTAATCACAGCGATAAAAGTGGCATGGTGGTGCATATCTAATATCTGACTATCATCAGCAGATAATCTTCAAAGCAGAGGTTTAGCCTGACTATTCATGGAAGAGTTAGATTGGACGAGCCAAATGAATACAACATTTTAAAATAACCATTATGCTCCAAAAATGATGTTTACCATATGTAGCATATTTGTACATACAGTATGTATCATGTTATGTTTCTTAAATTACCAATGGAAAAAAAAGGCCTGGATCATGTGCTCATTGGAGTTAATTCACTTGCCAAATATCTACCACTTTGCCCCAACAATACACCATAAAAGCCTCATGATTAATCTTCTGACATGGAATCCACTTGATGGTGAAAAGACCGATCAGTGACAGTTGAAGGCACTGTTGAAGTATTACTTGTAAACAAAACCACATGAGCATGGAGCAGAAGATCACACGAATACCAGTGTCACAGGACACTCCTCACCACCTGTGGTGTTCTAGCTGGGAAAGATATTCACCTTGGTTAAATCATGCTAAATATACCAGTTTACTATCATAACAATCAAACAGTTTAACCTTACATGCATTGTTTTGTTTAACTTGACATAACTTCCAGACAATGGTTGAGACAGTATGTAATAAGAGGGACAATGGTGACATTTGGAGTAAGTCATTCTTGGACAAAAGCTTCAAGGCTTTACATTAATGCCAGTTCGTTCAGTTTTTCAGTAGCATACCTTACCTTAAAGGCTAAAGCCGGGTATACAAGCATATATTTTCTTTGTTCAACCTGCGGGCTGAACGATTCAAATATAACAGATTCCTCCATCAACGTTTAGGGGCTGCTGGCCACTCTCAGGAAGCTGATTGGCTGCAAGCTCCGTTTGGCCAAGAATTTTCCAACCTGCTCCTTCAATCAGCTGATCGAGGGATGCCAGCCAGAAGGGCACTGATAGCAGCACCCACCGTGCAAATTTCGTCCGGTTCATGTATAGCCTACGTAAGTTTACCTTTTGGAAGCAGCCAAAATTCACTGAATGTATAGCCTACTTAAAGGAGAAATACAAGGTGAGTGATTTTCACTCATCCTCACAGTTCGAGCTGACGTGTGACAATGAAACGGTCACACGTCGGCTCAATAGATCGGGAAGCGCTGACTGGGGGAACAGATGGAGAGGGGGCAGGTACAGCTGGCTCTGCCTCTAGATAGGCAGAGCCAGCTGTCAATCACGCAGCTGGGTGGATCTCGACAGTAATGTCGGCATCCGTCCCGGCTGCGGCGGACTTAGTATACCGCGAGCTGTAGCTCGCAGTATACTGAGCTTTGGGTCATGGGAGGATGCTAGTTTATGTCCTCCCATGACCCTTAGGAGAACTGTGAGGAAAAACACTTACCCCATAGTTCTCCTTTAAGTTTACTTTTTTGACCATATTTCGTGTTATACCCATATTCAGGGTGTATCAAAAAACATCGACACGGCTCCACCCCACATTTATAGTCAATTCATACTCACTGTCCCTGTAAAGAAAGTTCATACCTTGGTATGGACAGGGGATTAAAGAAAGAGTCTGCAGGAACCTGAGCATCACAGCAGCAATCGACTGATCATGGCTGCAATGCTTTGCAGACTGGAAGGCAAAAAAAATGTAAATATACATTTTTTTCTTTTATTAATGTGTGTGCATTTATTATTTTTTGTAAAAGGTAGACTTTGCCTTTTAAAGTGTATTTCCACTTGTGAAGCCAAATTGGGGTAACACCTCCTTTACATTTGTTGCATATTCATGTAGCATAACGTTTTAATGGTAATGTTAATGTTTAAAGGAGAACTATGAGGTGAGTGCTTTTCACTCACCTCATAGTTCTAGCCGACCTGTGACAATGACACTGTCACAGGTCGGCGCAGTAGATCGGGAGGTGAGCGAACACATACCGGGTTCGCTCGCCTCTCGATCCTGTCACGGCTCTCTGCCGTGCCAGAGGGAGGGGCTGGATTCCCCTCTCCCCGCTCTGATCTGCCAGCGCTGACGGGCGGAATGGACGGGGGAGGGGGCGGGTACAGCTGGCTCTGCCTCTAGATAGGCAGGGCCAGCTGTCACTCACGCAGCTGGGCGGATCCCGTCATTAAGTCGGGATCCGCTCTGGCTGCGGCGTCTCAGTATACCGCGAACTGTAGCTCGCGGTATACTGAGCTTAGGGTGACGGGAGGACGCTAGTTTGTGTCCTCCCGTTACCTTAAGGAGAACTATGGGGAAAAACACTTACCACATAGTTCTCCTTTAACCTTGCCTGTCCTGTGCTGGCAGATCTCATTATCAGTCATAAACTAGATCTGAACACTGTCCATCCTAACAAAGTGTTAAAGATCTCAGGATTTGTGTTCTTTATGTTATTGAGAGGACACTAATTCTGTCCCTATTGTGTCCCTCCCCACTTTCACTTTGAAATTGTGCAGTGTGCTCTGCCCAAAGACCTGCTCCAAAGAAACAACTAGAAAGGTGAGAAATATTTTTTATGCGGTGTGAATAGGAACACATAACTAACATTTGTTGGGGGTTTTCCTAAATTTGACTGCAAAAGCAGAAAATACACTTTAATACTGGCTTGCCACACACCACACCACTATATGGGGTTTTATAAAATCCTTACGCTCTTTCTTCTTCGACTTGAATTCCCACCGATTGGTATCGGTAGGCTGCTTCTCTCTGCTCTGCATTAGCGACTTCTTCTGGCCGATCAACCTGGAAAAAATACAGATTATTAAGTATGTTTTTATCTTTCAGACCAGATGTAGCCATCCTTTCCTGAGATGCAAAAAGGGGCCACCAGAAACTACACAATTTGTACTTGTATTAACCCCCGCACTGCAAGGGCTAAGTGCTTGTTTTGGTCTAGGATGTAAAAAAAAAAATGATATACTCATCCGAACCACAGTGCCACCTGGCTGCTAGACTCTTAACAGCAGCCTCTTTCCCCCTCCACTCCGGTGGTGGTATGTCCCTTGATTTCCTCACATCTAATACAACTTTATTAGACGTGATGACTCACACGTCCTTAGACCGCTGGAGCAGGGGGTGAGAGGCTGTGGGGACGGGTCTAGCAGTCAAGTGGGACTGAGGTTCAGGTGAGTATATCCTTTTTATTTTACACCCTAGACCAAAACAAGAACCTAACCCTTGAAGTGCGGGAGTAGCCCTACTGCAAGGGTTAAGTTTTGCTTTGCCCACAGTCGTTCTTTAAAGACCGAAATGCTTTAAACAAAATAATAGCGTTAATACCATGCAAATACCGTTGTTATCTTTATTTCTTCAATCACGTGGTCTTGTTTCTTCTTTACGGTTCAGCGTGGCCCGGGTAAGGGCTGGGGTAAGCCGCAGTGGGCCACATGTCCTGGTTATGTCACTCCAGAGCAGAGTGTGCTGCCAGTCAAGTATCTGATCCGCCCCCAGGGTGGATCCCGCAGGATCAGATGCTTCAGACTCCTCTCTGCATAGCCTGGTGGGGAGGGCATGAAAATGCTAGAGCGACATCACCAGGACATGTAATGCGCTGCAGCTTAGCCTAGCCCCCACCCCGGGCCATACTGATCTGTAAAGAAAAAAACACATTTTCCTTAAATTCCTTGGCTGGAAATACACTTTAAAAGACTGTGCAATCAAATTGTAACATGCATTGGCTGCATCAGATGTGCACAACTAGTGCTACATAGTGTGGGTTAATGTTCCCCTGAATTACATACAGTTCAAGTTTCAATATAACTGTATAAAGGATGCGCAGGACACAGCAATGGAAAAAGTCAGAAACAATTCATTAGATCAAAGACCAACATAAAGCCAGCTGCACAGCTTTTCAGTTTTTTTTCTTTTCATAAATTAGTTTCATAATTTTGATTTTGAACCATTTAACCTAAATGTAGTACATTGTAACATGTGTAGCCAGCTTTACACAGACTACAACTTCAATGTGTTGTAAGGAGATGTTGTGTTCCAAAGCTGGCCATACACCAGTAGAATTCCATTCAAAAATGTTCACTTTCAGAAAATGTCTTAGATTTTTCTAATGGTCAATGGGGTCTAATTGACGTTTGTTTTTGACTCTAGGGATGAGGAACATCAAATAAGAAGGAAATGAATGAAATCATACATATTATAATGTTCATGTGCTCGGCACAAAAGAAACCTGTTTTATATGTCTGGGATTCCAATCAAGTAGCTGGTCTGGAGTACCTTTTTAAGTACCTTCCCACGAACTTAGTAGACTCAATGGTGGCAAGATCGAATGCTCTGATTAACTATACCAATTTCTAACAGTGTATAGCCAGTTCTACAGAACGGAGGTAAAAATCTATCTATCTATCTATCTATCTATCTATCTATCTATCTATCTATCTATCTATCTATCTATCTAATCTATCTATTTATCTCAAGCTAGCTCTAGTATTTGCAAACCAATGCATTGGCAGTAGTAAATGCTATTCGTACAGCTTTCTCTCTAAGCTCAGTGCTTTTCTTCTTTTTTTCCAATTATAGACGTCCTAGTAAAACATATTTGAGATTCAAATGTGTATACTGAAAAAAAAGACTGACTGGAAGAACCTCCGTACAAGTTATTAGACAGGAAATGTTTCACAATAGGCATAGTAAAATATTATTATAAGCCTAAAAACCTAGAACAATGTAGGTGAGATGTAAATTTATAAGCAGTGTAATTGTTATGTAAATAATAGGTAACATTATAAACTAGTTATTATTCCTATACAGGCTCATTCCTCTGCATTCTTAGGTATTCACATGCTTAGAAACAGCTATTCTGAACCACCTAGTAAGGTGTATAATAAAAAAGTACTTGCTAAAAAAAAAGTGGAATTGCTATGGAGATTGGAGCAGTAAATTGGGGGTTTTATGACTTCTTCTGGAGCTAGAAAAGTTTGGCACATTCATTTCTAGAACCAATAACCATCACTGCATGCGTTATTTTGGCATAGAAAAAATATTTTTCAAATCATCTAAACATCTAACAAAAATGAATAGTTATTTACTGACCCTTAAAAGATAGCTGTACTTTCAAACAACCAAATCCTAATATCCACTCCCTTTCCTAGTTGTATCCCCCATAACTCAGATCATTGGGGGACCAGGTGGGTCAGCATCTGTGGCCTCACTGGGTAATGTTCATGCCCCCTTCTAAACCATTAAGTAATGTGCATCCTATCTTCCCTAGGGCCTAATGAATGTTGCAGGCTTGAAAGTCAATGGCTTGCACCCCAACATGCCTGGCCAAAGCACCACAGTGTATAATGGTGATCTTTCCTTGTGGTGCGCTGTGGTGAAGAAAATGCTGCAGTAAAACCTGCATTGTGGTGTGCTGGCTGGCCATCCATAGTGCATGTGAATGTGAACAATAATACTACACAAAAGTCTGAACTGGCTTTAAAACTAACAATAACAAGTTGATAATAAGTGTATGCTCACATCTTCTCATGTTCCCAGGTAATTTGCAGTATTGCTGCTGAAATGCACTCTGTGGCGCACCTAAATTACTGGCGTATCCAAATTATTGACAAATACTGTATATAGAACAAACCGAATGATACAGAAAGGGATATCTTTGAAAAATAAGCAGGCTTTTGTTATTACTTGATAACAGAAAGTTTAACCCTACTTGATTACAGTTAATGGAATGCTACTGCCATTAAATATTTGGTGACTGCTTTAAAAAATGACAACACTCCCTTTTCTCATGGGTAATATTAACTCCGATAGTTTAACCTAGTTATAAATCTGTGCTGGGCAATTTTTCCACTTACTTTGCCATATTTCAGCACATGTGAAAAGTACCTGTTTTGCAAACACATTTGGCCACTTGATCATGATTTCTTCTTTATGTGCATACGTTTTATCATTTTTTTACAATTCAATTTGATATTGCAAACACCCATGCCAAAGCCAGGCCTATTAAATTCAGAACCTCGCTCCTGCCAAGTATAGGCCCACAAGGGAGAGTACATACCATTCCATTCTAAACACCTTAATGATGAAGGCAACCACTGAGTTTTCAATAACCAAAAACAGTATAATCTGTGTCTTCAGGATTCATGCAAAGAGCATGTCATGACACCTTTGAGATCACCCGTGCATCTGCAATACACAGCCTTAAAGTCCATATCCACCTTTGTAAGTGTTTAGCAGTTATCGTGGTAATGAAGAGGTGCAGTGATGATGTATACTGTACACGTGTACATTTGCATGTCTCACATTGCTGGCTTTCTTCAGTTTTTTTAATAAACTTTTTATTAGGCCTGAATCCTAGAAATTCAGAATTCACAGGAATTCACAGCAAAATCAGTCTGACACCAGGGAACACAATACACTGTCCTGGGGAGGGGGTGCCACTATGCCGCTATGAATACTAATCAATGGGGGGAGAGAGCTCAGTTGTAATATACACACATTGCTTTCAAAATGCAGAGGTGCTCATTTCCATGAAAAGATGAAGAGCAAAGCGAACAAAAAAAGTATGTTTTTAAAAATACCTCCACAAAGGTGGAAATGGGCTTTAAATCTCATGTGTGGGAAGTCCTGGTGACAGACAGAGATACGAGCACCATACTTGCCAACATCTCTGTTCCAGTCCCTGTGACAGTGTCACCCCTACCCACAGTCCACACATGTTATGCCCTCCTTCAGTTTAGTACTGGCCAGAGCACACCCACTTTTTGGCAGTCCTGCCTCTAGTTATGTAGGAACCACCAACTTGCGGCCATGAACCTTTCAGTAATACCTTTTTTGAGGCCCATGTAATGCTGATGCTGTGACCTCAAGAGGCAGCCCTGGATATAGCATCATAAAAACAGAGCACCTAGATGAGGGACTGTACCAGCAAATCTGGGGCAGTTGGTCTTTGTGTAGCACTTGTATGCTTATGGATATGGTATGTAAAAAAAAGCTTAAACTAAAGCCAAGCCAAAACTGTTTTTTTTTTTAAGGAGTGGACAATGATTAAAGAGCCCTGTTTTTACTGCTAACTGAAGCACCTTTCGAGAGTTTCCCCCTGACTTTCTGTCAAATGAAAATCTTGACTCGACATACGCTTAAAGTACATCTAAACCGAATAACAAAAATGTATTATATTTCAGCTTACCAGTCCTTAGATGTAGTGGCTGCCTTAATTTCCTTTCAAGCCAGGTATATTTTTGGTAAGAACAGAAAAATACATGTTGATTCTGATAGAAATCTTGTTTTCATGTAACTTCCTGAAATCTCAAACAACTTTATCAGGTTTCCAAGCCTTCATCTTCTGTGAATTGCATTATCTCTCCTACCTATTTTAGGGAAGCTAAGGAGAGTTGGAGGTGTTTGTAGTCCAAACTAGGAGAGCAACCTAGGGAGACAACACTGCTCCTCCACCGTACAGTGAATTGTCACCCTAGGACAGGAAGTGTATAACTGGAAGAGTCACCAGGTGAAAAATAAAGGACAAAAAAAAGCTTGAACAAGGAAACTAATATAGTCGCCACATCTAAGGACTGGTAAGCTGGAATATTTCATATTTTTGTATTTGGGTTTAGATATACAGTACTTTATCTGTTAAATTTGATTCACCCATCATAGGCAATGCTGCTCTCATTATTCTTATATTAAATTCTGTCCAATATCATTGGAAAAAACTTCATACTCTCTCAGTCATGATTGCGTTTACTATTATGGAAATAAGGTATCCTGATTGCTCAGATTAGCTGGGCCATGATCCAATGAGTCATGACGTGATTGGCTGTGGCCATTTTTAATAAAAGCAGAGCTCCAGTCAACCAGCACAACGAACATTTTTACATGTAAACTTTTTACCTGCCACTATTTTCGTGACTCTGCTTTATTAGTCTTGTAATTCCAGTCTCCAACAGTATGGTAATAAACAGGCAACAGGTTTTAGGGCACATTTTGCAAAATATCATTATGTTGCGTCACCCCCCCCCAATGTTAGGGGAGGAGGCACATTACCAGCATGCACATCATCTCTGTATTTAAAAAGCTTTCCTGGGAAACCTAATAAATAGTGGGATGGTTGAATGGCAGTCCCTGTCAAAACTTCCTTACCTCCTGGAGGATTAAATAGTTTAACATTAGGATAATGTTGTGTTCTCTAACACACTGTGTATTGCATACTGTTGACTTTTGATTGGCAGCTGGCCATGCTGATTCAGAAACCAGCAGCATGCACTACACATTGCATTTCGTGAGGACTACTTTTTTCTACAATGGATGGAATATTTGAGCTAGACTTCTACTTCACCAATAAATAACAGGCAGCGTGGCAACTTGTTCAGCAAAAAGCATTAGGACAGGAAGGATAGAATTTTCAACATTCATCATACTTCTGCTTTTGTTGGAAGTCTGGTACCCCTGCTGCACGGTGTGGTTTCAATCGCTGGCTGCTACATCAGAGGTGACATAGCGAGTGGAGATTTGAGTAACAGGTGGTGGGACGAGTAGATATAAATAGTCTTATTTTGCAGGTTTTTTTACATTTTCTAAATAAGGGACAGAGTTGCTTTAAGCATCTTACAGATCTAGCTATGAGCTTGTTATAGAGCTGTATTCACATGTGTTTCCTTCGTGGAATCTACAACACGGGTATATGAAAGGCTTGTTTAAACAAACCTTTTACCATAAAAATAAGTTCAATAAGAGAAGATTTATGACAGAATGCACTGTTTATTCCACAGATTTTTTTTAATGTGACTTGACTGATCAATTGTCACAATAAACAATTTCAATCACATAACAACTGCATGAGCAAACAATAACAGTTCAGATAGCTTCTCAAAAAAATACATTTAAGCTTTATGGCTATTGTTACCAAAATCTAGTCATGCATCCAAGTGTTCTCCTATAGCAGCAACACAGTTATTACAGCTTCCATTAAAAAATGTCTGACAGCTTCCATTAAAAAAAAAAAAATCTGCTATGTTGCTTCACCAACAGTTCTTATATCACTTAAAGTGAGCCTGTGCCCATATCATGTATACTAAAATATGTCCTAATTCATCTCTGTATCTATAGGCATTGTGGAATTATTTTTTTTTACTTTCACAACACAGGTAGTGAAATCTTAGCTTTATTCAATATAAACACATCTTGGCAGGCTGCCAGCCCTCTAGTGTAGACATTCAAGAGATGTTTCTGAGCTGTTACAGCTAGTTTAGGCTTCAGTTTGTAGAAAAGCATTGTAAACAGCAAGCTTTCCTGCGCTTTTGGCAAGCTTTGTTGAAGCTTTTAAAGTACCTTTCAGCTTCAGTTGGGGAATGTTAAACACAGATCTTAATGGAAGTGCTGACTGTCAATTTAAATAAGCATCTAGCAAACATCAGTAAGATTCAGCTCTACTTGAAGCTTGTTGAAAGCCTGGTAGCAGCTTGTTTAAAGAGACAGTTAGCATTCCCATTAAGATCTGTGTTCAATAGTCCGCATTGTAAAAAGTTTAATGTCCAAGGCCTGGGTACATGTGCACTTTAAGGATCTAGTGGTGAGGTCTTTTTGCTTTCAGGTCTACAAAATGATGAAGACCTTTAGAAGGGGATCACAGCACTTCTGCCAGATGTATGTGATTTATATTATAAAGAATACAACAGAAGGAGCGTGTAGCAGAAAATTAGATAGGAACACCCAAAACTCCAAAGTGGGCAGGAACAGAGTCATAAATTATTACTTAAGAGAGTCAGAAATTCTAACTTAAAAAAAAATGACAGCAGTTGTTTCATCTTAACAAAATCTACGAGCAATAGAAGTATCACCTTTTACTGGACTTAACTATTAAAATGTCATCTAGTAACAAGCTTTCTTTACCTGTATACCAATGGATAGGTTTTTCCTGAATTGATGCTTTTTCCTGTCTTCTGCAGTGATGGTGGAAACGGTTGATGTAGAGTTTACTGTCATGGCGTTGTCCATGTGTTGGCTGGCTGGGCCATGGATCTGAGCATTGGCAGCTTCAATAGCAGCAGTAAGTGCTTTCATACTGTCCAGGCTCTCAGTGGAATTACTGAGCCCTGACTGACTAATCATATCCCCCCTTTGTCCATGTCCATCCATGTAGGCATCTTGGGCAGATTCGGTACTACTCTGAGCTGTGATGGAGATGAAAGGTTTTGTTGTTTTCCTGGGTGGTACCGGAGGAGGTGTCTTTTTATATGTGGTGATACATGAAGATACTGAAAGGAAAAAAATTAAAATATATAAGAAACACATTTCAAATGTTTAGGCAGATTGATATTCATATTTCTTTAAACATATTATTGCTGCAGAAATAACATTATAGTTTGTGCATTGAGTGTCTGGTGTTCCTGGGATGAAGACACATTTAGATCCAGCACAGAAACTAGTAACAGAGAATGGTTTTATAGGACAAAGGTAAACTCAGGACATGCTTAAGTTTTACTGCGCTGACTCACATTTGTGAAAACAAAGCAGATAAGTATAACAGCCTGACTGTCAACTGTGCATTTGGAAATAGTTTTATAATATATATGGCATTGATTTCCAACAACAGTGTTGAGCAAGATACATTTGCAAGTATTCAATATCTGCCAGTTGGTCTCCTGAACCACATTTGCCGCCCTCTGGTATACTGATCTCAACTAGTATATATGCTTTAGAATATTCTACTTTTTCAAGGGGAAGGAGACCCCCTAAAAAACCCATACCAGCATGGTATTCAAGAGTTCCTAATGGCCTCAGGTGCAGTAGAAGAGCACCTGAAATGTGGGCCAGAGGGGGTTCATTTAAGTTTGCAACCCCCTGCTTTGGTGTACTAACATTTATTTTTAATAGACCAGTTAAGTACCATATTGAAGAGTGGTACAAATCCTTCATCCCTCATTCTATTCAAATTTATCTCAATGTGATTTATTTACAGCTCGTAGCTGTAGTGAACAGTTTGTAGACAAAACCTTTTTTTTCATTTTGGAAAGAGTGGAGAAGGGTTAGACTTCCTGTAAAGTTTTTTTCCTGTTTGTGTCCCTGCTGGAGAGATTAACCTCTCTATATGAACTGGTGACTGAGAAAAAAAAGGGGAAATCCAAAATGTTTGAGTTGTCCCCACAACAAGAGGTGAGGAAAAATCTTCCAACAGGGACACTTGTTCTTAACGATTGAATTCCCCTCACCTTGGGAGATTTCCACTAACATATTGTTGCATCTCTGGGACAGGAAGTAAAGAGAATTTTCCCTAATTGTACATAGACAGCACAAAATAACCCTTTCATACTCTAATCCCTGTATCTAAAACGAAAAAAACTATTTTGGCTATTAACCTCCCTGGCGGTATGATTATTCAGGATTTTAGCATCCCAAAGCGGTACATTGTTTTTCATGGAAATTTGTTGTTTTATATTGTAGGCCTGTAATTCTTAGTAAATCTTAGGAATAACTCACCTAAATCTGTCCAAACAAGAGTCCAGTAGACATCCCGGGTATGAGAAAGTTTGAAACACGAAATTAAAAAATTATAATATAATAAATTATAAATAATTATAAGAAATTATAATATAATAAATTATACATAATTATAAAAAATTATAATATAATAATACAAAAAATGGTCCAGTAGATGGGAATTCTGGGGGCACTGCGTGATCCGTACCACAGTAAATAAAGTACCAAGTTCACACATCACTGAGCTCGGTCGCAGAATTGTCGCTGTTTTAGGTCAAAAGCGGTTTTAGGTCCTAAAACCTAAAAGAGGTTTTAGGTCAAAAGTAAATTAGAATCACTTGCAGAATTGAGTGATAGTGATTCGTTGGGAAATTCGTCATCAGACACTGAAAGTGACTTTCAGTGTCAGATGACGAATTTCCCAACGAATCGCTATCGCTCAATTCTGCAAGTGATTCTAATTTACTATCGCTGTTTTCTACCTGGTCTAAACCCGCTTTTGACCTAAAGGGACGCTTTTTGGATGCCATGGACGTTTACAAGTTTCCAGGCAGAAAGAACAGCAAAAGTGCAGGCAGGGCACTGGACAAAGCTCTAGGGACAAAATTTAAGTGAAATAGTTTGATACATAAGTGTAATTATAGCAGATTGCATTGTATTCTGTGCATTCTGTGCAAATGTCATTTTTCACTTTTGAATTTCCCGCCGGCTCCGCCCCCCGCTGTGACACCTGAAAACGAAAGTAAAACTCAGATGCCGGCATCGGCTGGCCGCGTACAGGACACCGTAGGCTCGCAGGGACAAGGTAAGTGTCACTTTTCTGTGCATTCCCAAGTCTGGCTCGGGGTTACCGCTCCTGGTACTGAAAGTTAACCCCGAGCCAGACTCAAGAATACCGCCAGGGAGGTTAATACACTTTTAAGAGTTTCAAGGACCCCTTTATTGTGGCAGCGGTAGCTCACAATTTGACTCAGACATTCAGTTTAGAAAGGTCTGTTTACCCCATGATATATGTGGAGACAGAGGGGTTAATCTGTTAAAGGCAAATAGGCTGTTCACTTTGCAAGGGAAGTTGCCCCTTAGTTTAGTAAATGAGGTGAAGCTCTGCTGACTTCCACCATCCAATCATGTGCAAGCAAAAATACTGTTTTTTGTTTTTATTTTCCTTAACCTTGATTGGGTATACTTTGTAAAGAGAAATATCACCACATTTACCAAGCTAAGGGTAAAATTTAGGTGAACAAACTCTAGCTCCTGCCTTTTCTCTTACCCGGCAGTAGTGCTCTATTGTGAGCCAGATATATATGTTCTGCTGATTCCAAGGGATTTAGTAAATCTAATGTAAGGATCATTTATAGTCAACAAAATAAACTTATGTCTTTCTATTGTTTACTACATTTAAAGTAAGTAAATTGAGTTTGTTCCTTTTTTTCTGTTTGTTATTGGACTTTAAGACGCTATATATAGTACTCAACATATGATTCCTTATAAAGGCATGCCAATATCTTATTAAAAGCAGAGTAAATCAATAAACTCAACTATGTAGGGGTACAACCAACTAATCGATTAATCATCAGAAAAAAATATGAATATCGATTCGTTGGTTGGATCCCCCACTACCTGCTGTATTTACATTCAGCTGCCATATGCGGAATCTGTCATTCGCTGGCTAAAGCTAATCAAGCGCCATGTGCTTACAATACAATTATTGCAATTTTTTTTATAAAAAGGTGGGAAAAAAGTCATTTTTGGTTTCGGCCTGACAAATTCTGCTGCAGGAGGTATGTTGCAGTGCCATTCATTTCAATGGCACCCCAAATGCGCCTCCCACCCACAGTGTGATCGCCTGCACTGGAACCCACGGTACCACAATGTTGTGCGTTCCAGTGCAGTGCGATTGTAAAAAATTGTGCATGCAGTTTTATTCTGAAGTAAACTTTGTTTGTAACCCTGTATTTGTATATTTTCTTTAAATTAAGGATGGTATTTATTTAATTTTTTATATCCAATTAATCGAAAAAACAATTGCCCAACTAATCGATTATGAAAACAATCATTAGTTGCAGCCTTTGAACTATGTATACCAGATAAAAGACCCTAAATGCAGAGACACACTTATTCACACATTTAATCAGGCACAAACATGCTGTCCTTATGAATTCCAGTTACAAATGACTCAAATATCATAAAAGGGATGAGGTATCTTTCAGGGTTCTTGAATGGAACATTTCCCTTAAAAGAAGTTCTGAATGGAAGTATGTTTGCTCACATTTTATCATTGTGTTAAAACATACTGCCAGAAGAGGCAGAAATTAAATCAACAACTCCAGTCGAATATCCAGAATGCCGGCAAAGTGGAAGCCGAATTTAAATAAACATCTACATGGCTCATACAGAGAACAAAAGAGAACTATGTTCACAAGCCTCTGCATGCCAAGTGTCTAGTAGGTTGTACACACAGAAATAACACAGGACTTTTAAATATAAAAAGACACTATGATATTGGATAATATACTCCCTGGCGCCCTGCAAAAGGGAACCTATCACATAAAAAGAGCACTACAACGTGCAATAAGTCATTTGTTTGGAAGAATGTTTTGAGTCTTTCAATACATGGATTAATGTCACAAGCGAAGATGAGTACATTTGATAAAATCCACTCCACTGGTAATATGCCAAATTCAGCCTCAGCAATTCCTTTCATATATTAGATCTTTATTGGATAAATTAGGTCATTATGAACAAATGTAATTGCATTGCTCTCAGTCATTTAACCCCTTCGTAACTGACGACGTACAGTGTACGTCGCCAGCATCGGGGCTGTTTAAACAGACTCCCGGCGACTTTTGCCGCCGGGAGTCTGTTTAAACTTGTAGAGCCGACTGTCGGCTTTACAACAGAAGCGATCCTGGCGACTTACCTGTCGCCAGATCGCTTCTGCGTCCCGAAGAAGGATCGCTTCTGCGTCCCCGCCGGACACCCCCACCGTGCTTCCCGGGCTCCGTTGCCCCTCCTACGGGCCCGGAGAATACCCATTGGTATCTACACAATGTGACTGAAGGTCAGATAGTAAAGAACTTGGGCCCAGTGCTACAAGATCAGTGCAGGCTACATATGTGCAAGAGCGGTGGAAAGGGTCCAAAGGACTCATTCACCTTTCTTATGGAGGTTCAGTGGATTGGTGTGCCAGGTACATTGGCAGTGCATGCAGATATTTGGGCTTAAGGGCTTGTTCACACCAAATGCAGACCAGATCTGCATGAGTTTCTGCACACGCAGTGCAGTGGGTTGTGCCGCGTTTTTTATGCGTTTCGGGCCGTTTTTGGTAAAAAAAATATATATTTTTTTTAGTTTAGAATGGGCTTTTAGTGCATTCCAGAGCATTTGCATGCATTTTTGATGTGTTTGCATGCGTTCCAGAGCGTTCCAGAGCAGGTAAAATAGGGCTTGCTGCAGTTTTTTTTACATGCTCTGGAACTGAACGCTGCGGTGTGAACAAGAGCCCAAAATACCATTGGAATACATTGGACGCAGTTTTGATCCGGTCTGTAACTGCTCTGCTCTGCTCCTGGAATGCGCTTGGTGTGAACAAGGCCTTATGGTTTGTTATCACCTAGTCACTTGTTAATACACTCAAGGTGCAGCCATCTTGAATGCACTTCAATTCTATGCACTCCTCTCCTGAAAAGTAGATGTGTATAAACAGCAAGAAAACAGCAAATTAGCTAATATTGATTACTCATAAAAATCAGCAATAACATGCATCTGAGCCAAAAAC